GAAGTCCACTAGGATGTAGTTGTTAGCTGCCATGAAGTTGGCCCCCAGCTTTCTGGGACTTCATGCACAAAAGGATCATATAATTGTGAACTATAGGGTTTCCATTGATTGTTTTTGGGGGATGTATAACACCAGATTTGTCTTTTTCATTTGTTTTGCTCTTGAATCACCTCTGAACCTGCTCAGCATCATAGCAATCAAAAGGCTCCAATGGCAGGCAGACAGTGGCTGCTCATGAGGTTTATCCATCATAAGTCAGATAGGCATGGAAGGCAATAATTCTACCACTGAACCTTGAGGAGAAATGTGTTAATTCATCAAAGAACAAATGATGTCGTCTAATAAAATCCTTTGCTATTTTAGACAGGTATTCTCACTGGAAAATTCCTGAGCTATTGGAAATATAGTTCAATTTATATTCCTCATTATTTTTTATTTTAATAAATCATTTTATTGGGGACTCTTGCAGCTCTGATAACAATCCATATATCAATTGTATCAAGCACATTTGTACATATGTTGCCATCATCATTTTCAAAACAATTTCTTTCTGTTTGAACCCTTGGTATCAGCTCCTCTTTTCCCCCTTCACACCCCACCCTCCTTCCCTCATGCACCCCTGATAAATTATAAATTATCATTTTCATATTTTACATCGCCCGCTCTCTCCCTTCACCCATGTTACTAGACTGGAGCATGTATACTGGTACAGATAAAAGCTCTCAACACACGGAATCCAGGAGAGATAAAGCCCTCAGGAACAGCAATGGGAGTAGCATTACTATGAGGGTAGAGGGAAGGTGGGAGAGAAGGGGGAGAAATAGGTAACTTACTACAATGACTGACATTTGTTTCTCATTACTAAAATGGTGACAATCATAACATCTATTTTTATAGGATTGTTTCCATGATTAAATGAGTTATTATAACTAGAGTAGACTAGTTTCTGGATTATCACAATCACTAATGTTAGCTTTTTTATCTTCAGTTCTAAATTCTTTTAAAATACATAGAACCTCAGTCAGAGCCAGATTCCATTTAAAGGGCATCATAAGTACACCAGGACGTTTCCCGCCCCCCACCCCCTTTTTGGTTTTCTTTTTTCTTTTTTAAATTGTGAGTTACTGTTGAGTCTCCGGGCTTGTCACCCCAGACACCTATGGGTGTGTTAAACACACCAACCTTTGGTAACTAATTGAGCACTAAATTGTTTGCACCACCTAGTAACTCCATTTACCCTGTAGAGTTTGCTAAGGCCTCTAATCCCCATTAGAAATTACTCAAGGGTTGAAACTAGAAAGAAAGTAAAGCAAGAGACTCTTCAGATTAGTAGGACTGAGCTCTAGAGAGCTTTCTTGGTTTACTCTTCACAGAAGCAGATCATCAGGCCTCTTCTCCACAGCACCGCAGGTTAAGTGTGGAATTCCAAGTCTTTAAAAGGCATGAAAATTCATCTGTACCACCTAGAGATTATTATTGTAGAATTTTCTATTTCTCCTTTCAAATTTGTATGTGTTTGCATCATTATATATTTTGGAACTCTGCCATCAGATGTTTATTGATACTTATCTCTTTAAAAAAAGATATTTTATCAGCTTTATTGACATATAATACACATGTCACAAAATTCAGTGGTTTAAATATGTTAAAATGAGTTGTGCAATCATCAATACAGTTTTAGAACATTTTCTTCATTCTTTTACCCATTATTATCAGCTCTCCATTATCCCCAACCCCAAAGAACTATTAATCTAGTTACTAACTTTATATGTATTACCTAACCTGGATTTCATATAAAATTCTTCTCTCTTCTGGATTAACTGATTATTTTACACTATATAACATTCTTTTTTTGTCATATAACACTGTTGTGGGGGATAAAAACTCTGAATTTAAATATGTTTTAAAGAGACTCCTTTTATTAAGTCTTAAACAGGGCAAAGACAAGACAAAGGTAAAACATCCAGATGAAGGAGACCAATGGCACGAGGTCATAAAGGTACCCCCAAATCTCATCCATGTGTCTTAATTACTATAAACAATAAAGTAAATCATCACAAAGTCCTTACTGGTAACAAATCAGTTCACCATTGTCACAGGTGGGATTATGGAAATGAGATGAGAATTGTGATTGGGTTGTATACACAATTAAAGATTAGGAAAATGTACAGGACTGGTTCTGGGCCTCTCCCCGTACTTGATGGTGAAGGGCATACTTCTATTAAGGGTATACCCAGACAAATCCCCTGAGACAAAATCTCCATCCCTGGGCTGACTAAAACCCAAACCCAACCCACTTCAGTTGTAGCATCGTGTATATGGGATTTCCAAGGTTGTAGGTCTTTATGGAGTAGACGGCCTCGTCTTTCTCCCAAGGAGTGCCTGGTGGTGTTTGAAATGACGGCCATGTTAGCAATTCCATCCTTATCAGACAGACCACCAGGAATGGGTTGGGGGATTGTGATATACTTTCAAAAACACCCTCCTGAGAGCTACCAAGTTAATAGCAAGAACTCAAATAGAATCTGAATTTAAGTTAAGAGTGAAAATGATATTAAAGCTTTTATTGTAACCACAGCCTTCAGCAAATCAAGTGCTTAGAATTTATACAATATCCTTAAAAGCTAGTCTATCTTCTATCACAGAGTCACACAGCCCACATTGGGCTACACTTTGTGTGGAATACTTATTCTCTCCCTTTGCTTTCACCTGTTTTTCTATTTTTTTTTAATTTAAAATGGGTCTCTTATAGACAACATATAGTTGATTACCTTTTATTCATTCTGTTCTACCATTCTTTGTTTTTTGACTAGAGAGTACAGTACACTTACATTAAACTAGCTATAAAGAAGGACTTACTTCTATCATTTTGCTGCTTGTTTTCCATGTAGATTATACCATTTTATTCCTTATTTTATTGAATGTTATCCTTTTTTTGGGGGTGTGGTGTTAGTTGATTTGTTTGTGGTGAATCATTTTGATCCCTTTGTATGATACAAAAGTTTGACCTTTTCCGTTGATTCCTGAAAGATAGCCTTTGGGATTACCAAACAATGGGAATACCTTTGTTATCTAAAACCTTCACTCAGCACTTGAGAATATGTACAAATGAAGGGGTTTGCAGAGTCCCTAACCAGTAACCTCAGAGAGTAAGCAGTGCATATTTCAATCTTGGGTATTTAATGAATTGATTAATCACGACTCTGGTGGCTTACATGTTGGACTCTAGTAACGAGATCAGCAGTTTGGAACTATCACCTCACACCCAGTAGGATGGCTATTGTAAAAACAAAAACAAAAATCCAAAAATAAACTCAAACCAGAAAATAAGAAGTGTAGGTAAAGAGGCAGAGGACTTGCAACACTGATGGGCTTTTTTTCCCCCCAACATTTTTTACTGGCACACAAATTACCTAGCATACAATTGAATATTTCAATTGTTCAATCATATCAAGGGGAATTGTACAATCAGCAACCCACCTTAAAGCATTCCCTGCCCCCACCCCAACTCCCTGGTTAAATCGCCTTTAAAATGAGTTGTGCAATCATGATCAGTTCTAGTGCTCCCTCCCCCTCCATCTTTCATTATTTATTCCTGAAATCCCCTTTCCCTCCTGTGTTAGTATGGGTAGACTAGAGAAACAAATTTATAGACATTCATATGTGTATAAGAAAGAGTTTTATATACAAGAGCAATTGAATATTGAGAAAACATTTCAGCCCAGTCCACATCAAGTCCATAACTTTGATATTAGCCCATATGTCTGTTACCAATCTAGAAATTCCTCTTCAGACTCATGAAACACATGCAATGATGCCAAATGCAGGAAGATCACACGTCAGTGGGTGTAAAATCTTGTGGATCCAGTGACAGCAGCAGCATCTCAGCTCTGGGATGGATCTCCACGTGGCTCCTTTACCTCTGGGTTGTAGGTGCATCAGTCTCGCTCCATCAGGCTCGTCATCAGTATTGTCTCACAGGGAGTGAGCCTGTGTCCTGTCTTCAGCAAGCTATTTATCTCCTCAGTGCCTCCAAATGAGGCCATCAAGCTGTGACCTGATTGACACACTAAACTCCATCCCTGCACTCTTAAGTCTTAAATTGACAACAGATTATGTAATGACCACACCTCCCTATCGACAATCCCTCACCCCTACATTCCCTATAAACCTTGTATCAGTTATTCTCATTATATCTCCACACCTCATGCCTCCTGTGCTTCACAGCTGGGAAACCCAACAGAAGACAATGAAAAACAAATCATACTAGGGTGGTAAGGATAAGATCATAATAGTATAAAGACTGAAGTACAAATAATAGATGAGAAGGAGAAACTCCTATGGACATTCAATAAACCAGGGAAGAAATTTCTGTTGTGGAACCTCTAAGAGATCCTTGCACCAAGAACAAATTCAGGTCGTGTCTATAGTGAGGCCAATTGGCCAAATATTGAGTTTGATCCAGCATAATCAAGATTACAATGGTCTCTGCCTGATAGTAAGCCTGTTTGGGACACTGGCCTTTAGCTAGCGTGGATCTGCCATCAGCTCAGTCGAACCAGATACTCTTCAGGTGAGTTTTGGGCTCCCACTGCCCTCCATAGCTTTCTACAAATTGAGATGATAATTTTAGCTATGATATTTGTTTCTTCACCATATTTGAATTTTGTAATTGGCATATTTGCATCACAGAAGCTGGTGTGCTTCTTCTGTGTGGACTTAGTTGACTCCTTGCTTAGGTGGCTGCTTGTTTGAAGACAAGCCTTAAGACCACAGGTACTATTCCTATTGATAGCTGGGCACCATCTACTTTCTTTGCCACACTTTGCTGCAGCACCCTTATCCTCAGTGACAGTAACGTGACGGAGTCTCGTGAGCTGGGCCATGATATAAGAACTACTTTTTGTGTGTGCTTCTTTTTAGTTTATTACACGGAGGAGTTACAATAGTCTAAGTCAAAAGTGGACCCCAAATGGTTACATCATACAAGCTGTGAGATTTTAAACTTGTGACAAAGAGGTGGGGATTTTTCTATTAATTGCAAGGAAAACCTCACTTAAGTTTCTGTGAGCCACAAGCACTGAAAACCCATGAACCTTCAGCTGGTTGTCCTTAGCTGGTCCAGTCTCTATAAGGAACTGGCATATGTTCTGGTGCTGTTCACCCTGGAGCCGAATCACTTCTCCATATTCTGAATGCTCAGTCATAGTACTATTGCAGGCAAATATCTTTCTAAATGCCTTCACTGGTTTCTTTTTGTTGTAATCATCAGCGATCCCTTGGACAGTGGTCAGGGTCTTCCTGCTGTTGCACTGTTGAATTCTTTTATGGATATAATCCTCTGTTCCCACAGGCATCAGGTCATCACCCTTACTTGCAACAGCAAAGGGGTCGATGGAGTGAAAGTTCTGGATAGTGAACATATGATATGATTCCTTTTCCTCGGTGGAAACGGCCCGTGGAAGGCAGTGGCAAGAGAAGGAAGGCAGGGGGCATGGAACATTGGGAAGCAAGGGGCTCAAGGGCTCGAGGAGGAAGCTGCTGAGTCCTCCACAGTGGCTCAGTGACTGGGAAAAACTAATTGTTCTTAAGTTGGAGCTAGAATTCAGTGTGAGACCAGAACTCATTCCTAGATGTATGATTTTTTTTCAAATAATTTTCTGTAACTTGGGAATTAATACATATGCTATATCATTCCATAGTTCAATCATGTCAAACATAATTGTACAATTGCTTCTGTAATCCATCTCCAAACATAATTTTTCTTCCTGGGTTTCTTGATGTCATATCATTCTTATCTTCCTCACCCATCTATATCTCCCCTCCCCACAAACCTTTGTTATATTTTCTTTCCCTATAGGCTCAATGTCCCTAAAATTCATTTACCAAAAACCAGAGAAATAACTTGGCTTAGAGAGTCTGACCCCCAATGGTGGAACACCTATGAGGTCTACCCTAAGACACACAAGCATACACACATTATAAAAGAATGACCATCTCAGGATTGCCGGAACAACAATCCATCCAAAACGGAGCTGATGTAGCAAGGTCTTGTTTGTCCGCCAACCTTGTTTGAACATTGATCTTGGTACAGTTGTCTTCTCTTTCCTCGGACACCATGTTTTCTGACTTAAGTCCTCGGGTTACAAATATGTCTGAGGTAGCTTCCAGTTTACCAAGTGGGCTTCGCATATGGGGATCTCACTGATACAGCTTCTGGAACATGCCAGGCACTGGAGGATGCAGAGTTCATGGCACCCAGGCTGGGTTCCAGGGAGACCCCCCAGATTTCCTAGATCAATTTTGCCCACCTACTGCATGCCACTAAATAACCTCCCCACCTACTGTTCCCAGAGCATCCTCAATCTTTTCGCCCCTCACCTGGAGGTTAGTCCTTCCTCCCTTGCCCTCTACAGACATACACCTATATTCCCCCCAAACTTGACAGATACCTCTCCCTATTTCTGCACTGTCTCTCCCATCAGTAAGCATCATCCCCATTATAAGACTGCCTCCCTCTCTGGGAAATATCACCCCAGATACACATGGCTACCACTCAGTAGACAGTAACACCCCCTCCCCCTCCAATTCCATTTGATCCCTGTTGTCATGAGGTGCCCTCCAACCAAGTGGCATACACTACACTTACCTGGTGTGGATGGTGTGTGGTTCATTGGCACTGGTCTGCCTCTTTACCAATTGTATGGTTCCTCGGTCCCAGAAGACTGAATGGCCTGTGAGATTTAGCTTGTGCCCATTAGGCTTCTTGTTCCTACCGCAGTGGATGCATACAGTATTTGTCCTTTTGTGCTAAAATAACTTCACTCAGCATGTCTTCCAGATATTTCCATGAGTACAGGTGTTTCATCATTTCGTGGCTGGTTTTTAGGGATGTATAGTATTCCATAGTGTATATATCAGAGTGTTTTTTATCCACTCTAATATTGATGGCAATTTAGGCTGTTTCCAGCTTCTTGCTACTGTGAAATGTACTGTGATGAACATGGGAAAGCAAATGTCTGCTTGTGATCTGTTTATTTCTTTTGGGTATATGTCTAGTAACAGTAATACTGGGTGATATATTAGTTCAATTGCCATATGTTTTAGGTTATGCCACATCACCTTCCACAGTGGCTTCACATATTTACAAATCCACCAGCAGTGAATAAGAGTTCCTGTCTCAGACTTCTGGCCAAGATAGGGACCAGGTAGACAGCTCATGCTGGGAGCTCCGTGGAGATAGGTGAATAGGGAGATCTGGGGATCGATTAGGGGTTCTTAGGCTGTCAGTTAATTCCCCTGAATCAGAAGCTGACTCCCACCCCATATCCTGCACCCAGGACAGAGCCCCGAGGACCTGGGCCTACCACAGGAATTGGTCTGGGCCCAGTCACTGTGTTGCTGCAGATTGTCATGCCCCAACTAACCACAGCCCCTTGAGTGCCACCCACCCAGAAGAGGCTCGTGCAGTCACAGTTTGACACCCCAAATGGCATGGGGCCCTCACACTGCCTGTTGAAAGATCCCTTCTCCAAGACCGGCGTGCTCCTTCCAACTTTTTCCCTGCTCTGCTCGGCATTCCCCGGCCATCTGGAAGATGCAGTTGGGCCCTATTTCCCACCTGCCCGCCTATCTGCAGTGCCTCTAGCCAGAAGAAGATGACCCTGCACCCCCACTCCATCCTCACTACTGGATCTTTGTGCTTTCAAGCATGGGCCAGCACTTTCCTTCAAACTTTGGCCTGCATACCTTCAAAAGGCCCCTCCTGAGGCCTGTGGGTTGCTGGAGCCTAACGCAGGCTGAATTTAGAGCCTGACGACTGAGAGGGCCATCCAACCTGCCCTCCAAACAGCAGATTTCCAATAAGCTAGGGTGAGAGGGAAATCCCAGTGGAACAAAGGTGACACAACCCCTCAGGGAAGTTGACTACAGGCAGCCTGCCGAAGCATTAATACCAAGCTCCCAAAGAGAGAGCCCAGGGCTCTCTGATTCCCAGGAAAAATGACACTGAGTTCCTGCAAAATGACACATCAACAGTTTCAACAAGAAAACAGGAGAAACAAAATGCAATTACAGAGGATAACCTGAAGCTAATGGTAGATATAGAAGAGGCCGATGTTGACCTATCACAGAAAGAAATCTTCAGAATGCTGCTTAGATGGCACACATGATATGAGGAAAGCAATACAGAAAAAGGAATAAATGATACAGGAGATAAAGGCCACACACTAAAGGGAACTACAAGACCTAAGATACAAGATAGTAAACACCAGTAGCAAAATCACAGACTTCACCAACAGATTTGTTGGATAGGGAATGGCACCAGAGTCCTGGAGGATAACCATCGACATCGTGAGACCTAGAGGGTAACTGTAGACATCGACAAACGTGAAAGGCAGTCAAATAAGATAATCAGAGAAGCTGAAAAAAATCTGACAGCCATGTCAAATGCTATGAATAGGAACAAAACTAGAACAATTGACTACCGGAAAGAGACACAATGCAGAGTTCAGTGGCAAAAAGCGAGAGAATTCTTAGAGGAAAACTTCCCCAGCCTAATGAATGAAAGCCAGGCAATCATTCAGGAGACTGAAATAACACCAGCTAGACTGAATCCCAAGAATAAGTCATCAAAGCATATAATAGTTAAACTATCCAACTTTGAGGAAAAGGAGAAAATCATAAGAAAAGGAAAAAAACAGCAGTCACCTATAAAGACACCCAAATAAGAATGTACTCAGACTTATCAGCAGACACTGTGAAGAAGAGGAGAGAGTGGAATAACATATTTTGAATATTGAAGGAAAATAACGCAAACCCAAGAATACTCTATCCAGCCAAATTCTCTTTCAAGATAGGTCGAGAAGTAAGAGTCTTACTAGACAAGGAAAAATTCAAAGGATACGTTAAAAGAAACCCAACCCTACAAAACATCCTTGCTGACCCAGTATGGGCAGAAGAATAACACTCACCAAACACAAATAAGAGACTGCCACATAGAACAACCTCACCCAGAGGGCAACAAAGAGAAAACAGCCCCCAAGATAGCATTGACTCAATGGTGGAAAGAAGGCAAGAATGACACACACACACACACACACACACACACACACACACACACACACACCATGTGGATAAGAAAGAGAGGTAGGAAAACACCCAACAAAAGGCATAAGATGACATCAAAGAGTCCACAGATGGATGTAATAACCCTGAATATCAATGGACTGAACTCCAGCATTCAAAGGCGGAGGCCAGAAGACTAGCTTAGAAAAAACACAATATGTCGATCTGCTGCCTACAGGAGGCACATATCAAGACTACAGACAAAAATAGGCTGAGAATCAAATGCTGGAGAAAAATATGCCATGCAAATGCCAATTGAAAAAAAAGCAGAGATTGTAATCCTAACCTCTGACAAAATTGACCTCAAGGTGCAAGCCATAACAAGAGATAAGTAGGGGCACTATATAATGCTCTAGGGAACAGTAGACCACGAACCAGTAAGCATAATAAATACATACGCACCCAATGAGAGACCCATGAAATTCATCAATCAAATGCTCCAAAAGATGAAAAAAGAAATCACAGGTTCAATAATTATCGTTGATGACTTTAATATACCGCTCTCCGAGAAAGATAGATCATAGGGGGAAAAAGTTTAACATGGAGGCTACAGAACTAAACATTACAATTAGATGACTTGACCTGATAGATGTTTTCAGAGTTCTCCATCCAAATGTAAAAAAATTCACATTCTTTTCAAGCCCACATGGCACATACTCAAAGACAGGCCACATTCTGGGACACAAGTTGAATTGGTGTAAATTCAAGAAGAAAGAGACCATACAGACTTCTCTCCCTGACTACTATGCCACAAGGCTGGAAATTAATAAAAGGACTACCAAGAAAATAAGGGCAAACAATTGGAGGAAGAATAACTCTCTATTTCAAAAGGAACATGTACTAGCCCAGATTAGCGGTGAAATTAGGAAGTTTCTAGAAACCAACATACCAAACCTTTGGGACACAGCAAAGGCAGTTATTAGAGGAAGTTTGATAGCAATATGTGCACACATGGAAAAGAGAGACTTATGACTGGTATTCTGGCCCCAAATTTACAGCAATTAGAGCAGAGTCAACCGCACAAATTTACTAATAGCAAAACAAACGAAATAATAAAAGTCAGGGCTATGATTAATGAGAGGGAAAACAAGAAAACTATGGAAAAAATTAATGAAGCTAAAAGTTGGTTCTTTGAAAGGATTAACAGAATCAATAGACCACTGGCAAACCTAACCAAAGAATGAAAGGAACAAATATCAATAGTCAGGATGGGGGATGAAACAGGGGAAATTACAAGTTAATGCTATCCCAATACAAATACCATAATTTGTGATATGTAGGTTTATTGTGCCAACCT